ATCCATATCCATATCCATCCATCCATCCATCTCCATCCATCCATCTCCATCCATCCATCTCCATCCATCTCCATCCATCTCCATCCATCCATCTCCATCCATCCATCTCCATCCATCCATCTCCATCCATCCATCTCTCCACCCATCTCTCCATCCATCTCTCCATCCGTCTCTCCGTCCATCTCTCCGTCCATCTCTCCATCCATATCTCCATCCATATCTCCATCCATATCTCCATCCATATCTCCATCCATCTCTCCATTCATCTCTCCATCCATCTCTCTCCATCCATCCATCCATCCAGATCCATCCAGATCCATCGCTCTCTCTCTCTCTCTCTCCATCTTTGTTTGTGAATCTGTCATTTGTTTTTATCTCCAACTGGACTTGGAACATACTGGAACTGTCTGGGAATGGGATTGTTGAATTCATTCGCCCTTTTGAATGCAATGATTTGAAGAGCAGCGGGACTGACTGGAAGGGCTTGCCAAATAGCCGCGAAGGTAGTGTCTTGACTTGTCCATGCGTGAAAGGGAACACAGTTGCCCTCTTGAAGAAAGCCTTCAATTTTTCAGTCAAGTGCCAGTACAAAATAGATCAAAACAGAATACACCAAACTCAATATACTCAGTAGACCTTCCAGGTTGGATGAAGACACCGAACTGGATTCAACCCCACACAAATGGCTCCAGAATGTTCCAGACCTTTCTGGGCTCGTCTCTTCCCTCATCCCTTTTTTTTAGGTTTTCTCATGTTTTCTCCTTACTAAGGCGCCGCCGAGGACGCGTTCAGTGGGAGCATCGAAGCCAGCCCAGCGAACTCCTGCGACGTGAGCATTGGCAATTGGGACATCACGCTGACATGGCATTGGGAAAAAGCAAATGAAATAATCATCAAAAACTTACGACAAAATAGAACTCGTTCCAAAACGCCCTAGAAATCGAACTGTTCTTGGACTCCTGGACCTCTGAACGAGCCTGCCAGGAGGTTGTGTGTCTTACCCGCTCAGTCAAGGTGCTCCATGCTTTCTCCAGTGCAGGATGATGGCAAATGCGGCAAATTGTGTTGTTGTTCTTGTTCTTGTTCTTGTTCTTGTTCTTGTTGTTGTTGTTGTTGTTGTTGTTGTTGTTGTTGTTGTTGTTGTTGTTGTTCTTGTTGTTGTTGTTGTTGTTGTTGTTGTTGTTGTTGTTGTTGTTGTTGTTCTTGTTCTTGTTCTTGTTGTTGTTGTTGTTGCTGCTGCTTGCAAGTGGAATCTACGGCACACGGCCACATTTTTCAAGATGGGGGATCCCCTCCTTGGCCAGCCGCAAGGTCCTTGCCTGCCGGGCACACAGCAAGAAGCAAACACCTGCCAAATGCTAAGGCTGCGAAGGTTCCTCGTTCTTCCAAAAGCAATCCAACCTACAGTCCTATCGCTGTAAGGGTAGGCAGGGGGGTGCCGCGCGAGGCGCGTGCCTGTGGAGCGGAGGTCTCCTGCTGGACGGAGGCCAAGAAGCAGTGGTCACCTGATGGTGCCAATCCAGTCGTACCGAACGTCAGAAGGGAATTGGACTCTCCTGGCACCTACATAACAGTGTCCCCAATCACCTTCTGACAAGGTACTTGGATCCCTAGGGAGCAATATGGAATGAATAAGAGTGTTGGTGTCATGAGAAGAAAAAGAAGCAAAGAACCCAAGTCGGAACCGTACACTGGGGTTGATTCCACAACTCGACCAACAATCATGATGCAATGGAGATATCATCCACAAGAACGACATCTTCTCTTTAGTAGTGGCTTAAGTATCGAGCAATTCGATGGCACAAACCCAAGTTCGGTGGTTTATGTGGGCCCCCATCTACTGGAGTGCCGACTCAGAAAACCCACTGCATCTCTCCTGCTATGAATCTTCTCCGTCTCGATGTCCCCGGACCCCCTCCGTCCCGCCTTCGATGTCGCCAGCATCCAGTTGCAACGGCTTCAGGCTTTTGCAGTAGTCGGGTCTCTGCCCTTCGAACGGAAGAGGACGAAGAGGTGGACATTCCGGGTCGACAGATCTGACAGATCTGACAGGTGTCGCATGGAGAAAGAGGATCTGAAACACCATGCTTTGGAGAAAGGCAAGGTCATTGATCAGGGGCATTGTATTCACTACGTACCGTGGAAACACTGCATGTCCCCAGATTTCCACCAGCTTCAGTCGTCTTAGTTGGATGCGGCTTACCAGAGTCATGTCCTCCCCATCCAGTGGTTCCAGTGCTTCGGTTTCAGCCGATGACGGCTCCGAACGGCGGTGGATGGGATGGCACCAAGGGCGCAGTATTGCGTTTGGCACGCTCCAACAGAATTGCTGGGGAATAGTAATTGTATATATATATATACGTATCATACACATATATGTTACATATTTAAAAGACTATTCAATATATACAGTTATTCGGAATATGAACTTTAAAAATAATGATTCGTGCCATCCACTTTATACCGGCCCGTCAGTGTTGCAGGAGAACCTGTCCATCAAGAGCAAGCTAGTTTAACAACAAATGTTTAAAGCAAATCTTCAAGCGCTTTGCAGCACGTTCCCCACAACAGGCCGTTAAGTGTGATGTTTGTTAACAAAGGGTCCAAGGGTGTACCTTGTTTGTCTGTGATCTTTTTGGGCAGTCTGATTATTGAAGGAACAATGATGCAGCACCTCCATGGCAACAGTCGCCTGCACCATCAGCCACACTGGTCGCGGGATGGCTGCCACAGTGCCTGGCTCCAAACCCCCGCAAAAAGCTCCCGGAACTGGACTCCTCTGCGTCACTGAGTCACTGCCTTGCCAACCCTCTGAGTTCTTCCATCTCTTAACATCTAAGATCATCTCGGTCACTTACATCTCCACACGGCCACACGGAAAGCCACAACAAACCACTCAGGGAGGAAAGCGCCCACGGCTGTGCCTCTCAAGTGTTTCAGCGACCAGGACCACCCTCCGGGCCAAGGTGGTGTCCTCGTGGACAGCCCAACGGCCGACTGGGCGCGGCCGATGCAGCGTGGATGGTCCTCCGGCCCTCCGGAGGTCGAACGGAGGCGAACGGAGAGCTGCGGCCCAGGTCGGCGCCGGCCGAGAGCTGCGTCCTCATCTCCCCACAAATCATCACAGCTCATCAGCTCATGAAACCCGCTCATCTGACTCATCACAGCTCATGAAACCCCATGAAAACCCCCATGAAAACCCTCCAAAAAGCCCAAGTTGGCAGACGCTTCGCCAGATTCCCCACTCCTCAGTCCACTCCGCCGCGCGCGCGCCCAGCGTCTGCAAGAAGGTCTCGGCGGAGTCCTGAGGAACGGAGCCGCGGGTGGCCGAGGGCCTTCGATGGACGACGAACACCCAGCGACCGATGAACCATACTGTCTGTGACCGTTCAGAACACCAAGTGACCTTTTTGAGGAGCGAAATGGACATATGTCACTCTATTATCAAGATGAATCATAAACTAACAGTCATGGACATACAAAACCTAATGCTGACCAAACCTAGAGAGGTTTTTGGCCCTGTTAAGTCACCCATACACATGGTAGTACCGCATCCCAGGGTCCTATAAGGTCTCTCAACCTCTCCTGGAATGGACATATAAATCGCTCTATATCAACAAAAACTAACATGTGTATATATATTATATATTGATCCGAGGCTACTTGCGAGGCTCCAGTCGGACCTCATCGAGCGCGGCGCTTTCGCGTTACCGGCGGTTCACGCCTCTAGCCCAACACCTCGAAAATCCTCGAAAGGAAGGCGTTTGGAGGGGCTTCCTGTAAACATGGAAAGAACCATCACTGTACATGTTAGGGTGGGTGTCTATCCAAACACGTCATACAGGAAAGTGATGGTCATTTCATACTTCAAAAGCATGCTCCACGGCCACAGCCCACCACCCCCCCCCCCCCAAAAAAAGAAAACCATCAGCCTTGCAGCTGGTCATCCGGCTCCGCAGTGCTTCGAGGCTCTGCGGAGGCCTCAGCGGTAGAATCATTGGACCCTCCAGCCTGGAGGGTTTGGACCCTGCAGAACGCAGGGGTTTGGACCTGAACCAAACCTTCACCGAACTGAAGGTCCTTGATTCTTAGGGTGGTGTTTATCTCGTGGTTGGTCACTGTTATTTTTCAGCTCGCCACCCATGGAAAAGCTGGCTCGCTCTGCTATGCTGCCAGTGATGGCAAGCTTGTCTCACAACATCTCACAACTGCATCTCAGAGAGGATGGGACAGCCCCACAAACTGGCCCTCAACTCTCCTTCGCCAGTCACAGGGGTGGCCCACGTGCTCAAGAGTGCTCCTCCCAGTGATGAAGCCGCACATGCTTTCGGCCACCCCGCCCCCCGCCCCACCCCGCCCCCACGCTCCGCTCGGACGACACGTTCCTCCGCTCGGAGCCCCCGGGCAGCAGCGGACACATGGCCTCCACCAACTTCAGGACCTCGTCTTTTTGACCGAGCAAAAACGAGGCGAACCACGAACTCGAGGCGAACAACGGTCATGGGGCCGCATGCAGCAAGCCAGTGACACTCCCTGGAACTAACATGGTTACATGGATGGCATTGCCCCTTGGAAGACTACTTTCCTCTACCAAGAGGGGATTGTCCACTTCCATGATTGTTGCAGGGAGGGCAACGTCCCCCAAAACGACTCCAAAATTCCAATATCCCAAATCCTCTTGGTGTGACGATCCTGACCCCGAAAGCAATAGAATCGGAGGATGGTTCCGGCCCCAAAAGTGGGATCTTTCTGGAGCCCAAAATGGCTCTGCGGCGGCTTCCCCACTTCCATCCGCTCCGAACGTCGAGACCCCGTCGGCCTCCTGGAAGAAGCTGGGACGCTCCTCCAAATCCATGTAGGAGCTCGCCAACTCTCCTGACCAGGCGGGAAGCAGCTCACCGAAGCTCAAAGCTCACACACAAGTGCCGCTCGGTGAGATCCCCATCCATCGACCTCGAGTGGATGATCATCATGGATGATGCATGATGCTCCACCCCGATGCTTCGCTGGAACACCACCCCGATGCTGGGGTGACAACTAGGGTCACAACGGACCATGTGAGAGGCTTTCTTCGGTCCCATTCTGAAACAACTCCCTCAGATTCTGCAACACATCCCGTGGTGAAACTGGGATTCTGAAAGGACGGAATCTTCAGTGAAGGTGGTCCCTCACTGGTTGATTGATCCGCGACGAGTCCGTGGTGCGTCTGCTTTGGGCGCACCTTCACATGGCCGGAATCTACCTCAAGGCATCCCAACGGTGTGGGCCCATATGCACCTGGCCCTGCAGGCTCAAAGGCTCCTAGTATATCACTTAATAGATCTTAATGTTGCTCTTTTTGGGGCAGGGACATGCAAATTGACGGCGCAGAGTGAACTGCAACACACAAAATCACGAAAAACACTTCTGTGCGCCAATCGCTCGGAAGAAAAGAAGGGTCCTTCCAAGAACGGAAGCAAGCACGACTTCTCGACCAGCTCGCAAACGCCCTGGCCTCACAGAAGGTCATTGAGCACAGGTGGACAACCGATGTCATCGGGAGGTGCATCATAGAATTTCGGGAGTCAAAAATTCTGCAAAGCTCGACCATACTGCCATACTGACTGGAAGCAGCACCTGGTCTTTGTGTGCTTGGTTTTGTTCTGATCGTTCTTGCTCTTTGAAGCATCCCCCAGACATGTCAACGTGCCGTGGGGTCGAAAGAGCCCGGCGGAATGAGGGTCATCGGCCGGGGAATCCTGCATGGTCGACCCGCATCGGTCCATCCCTGACCGATGCGGGCGCAGGTGTTGGTCCGGAAGCTTTTCCCGGACGAAGGAGCTGCAACCTTGTAAGTGCCGAAGGCACAAATGCGGCACAAACACGAGCAAAATGTGAGTCATCCATACCAGGACACCCAAAGGGGCTTCCATTGGTAGCTCCTTAGAGGTTAAGGGGTGTCCATTAACCACCTCTTGTGTGTCCTGGTATAGTTGTCCTCCTTCCAGTTTTCCACTGCCAACGGTCTACTGCCGCGGTCTCACCCGCCGGGTCGACCCTTCCAGCCCTTGACTTGGCGCACGCCTTCGGAAGACAGGTCGCTTCCTAGGCAGCCGCGTGAAGCATCGAATCTGGGGGGCCGTGTCGTGAAGGGCTGGCTGACATAACCCAAACACGACGAATGGCACTGCCGCCATATATGCCTACATCAGTTGGAGTGGTGCCAGAGGGGTCAATGATATGGCATATATGGCAGTCCCAGACAGGTCGTGTCTGGGTAAGACTTACATAGCTCTCACCAACTGGTAACTGCGATCAAGAGCGCCTGGGAGACCCTAGACTGACGGTGACCACTGCCGCTGCGAAGAAGAGTGAATAGTGCTGCTAGCGCCGCCACAGCTATACAACCACAACAACTACTACAACGACAACTACGACTACGACTACATGAGGAAGGCACAACATAGGGATTAAGTTGGGATTAAGAACCCCAAAGCCCTTGCCGGAGGCCTGTAGATCTGGGTGGGGTGGCCGACTCAAATCAAAGGTGGCCTTGGAGTCCTTAAGGGTGTCTACTGATTAATGGATTCCATATGCATATATACAGCAAGTCCAATTAGTTGGTCCGGCTGTTTATCTAGTTGCTGTGGCGGAAAAGGGTGCAAGGTTTATGTATCCGGTTAGGCTTGGAGGAGGATCGCCCTCCAATCTCATAAATTCAAATTGCATCAAATTGCAACAGGCAAATTCCTGATGGGAAGACACCTTGCTGATCTCAACCCTCCGCAAGCTTCCATCCAAAAGCAACCTCCAGCTCTTTCTACCGTGTTCGGATTGAAGTTAAAACAAGTGGTCCAGCGACATCAACCCGATTCCAACCAGCTCTCCCATCGACTCATCATGGTTTCGTGGAGTGCCCAGCGCCGAGTTGTCTTCGGATCAAGACGGTCATCCAGAAATGTCGGGGACCATCCCACCCCATCCACTCAAGCATGATTATTGTTGGGAGTGCGCTCCCCCCCCCAAAAAAAAAAAACATGACGAATGGCACTGACATGTTTGCCTGGCAAAAAGGGGTGGTTGGGTTCAAGTGTAGGCATCTTGCGTCAGTCCCAGATGGAGTGTCTGGGTGCTGCCTTGTCTCCACCAGGTCGACACCTCACCCTGCATTGATCTCAGCGTCTCGACGAGCGGACCCGGACGAGGCACCGATCGCCGCGACCAGCTGCCGCAGCTCGAGGTCCTGGCGAAAAAGGCAGGATAGGCAGCTATGGCAGGTAGGCCAATAGGTAGTAGCCAGGTGACCTGGCGCGTGAATGTCATATACTGGGGCCGACTGGAGTTTGCTATAGGTGTTATGAGCACGTGAGTGAACACCGGAATGAGGGTCAACGATGGTAGAAATGTTCGATGTTGCTTTCTTCCACCTCTTTAGGTTTCAAATGAACCGTGATGGGCCACTCGAAAGTGATGCTTTTCATCCAGGTGGCTTGTGTGAGACTGGTGTGCAGGGCTGTTTTCCATGGCTCCCCCACACCGACCAGTTGGTCCTCCCAAATCCCAACGAAATACCTTCGCCGACTCCAGGAGTCACAAGACGGGGTGCCGAGCTTGGAGGAAGTCGGGGTGACCAGATGGGACTAAACACCACCCCGTCTTGTGACTCCTGGTTCGTGACTTTTGGGGTCCAAGCCATGCTTTGGGGTCAAGGTCCTGTGAGTCCTGTTGGTCGCTGTCCCCGGTTTCAGAGCCTGTCGGTCGCAGTCCAGCCGAAAGAATTGGAGAATCAGGGAACCATCCACTAAGCACGCAGCTCCTCAGGCCACCACCTGTCACTTTAAAGATCTTTGAAGTCTCTACTTCAGCCACCTGTTGGTGAAGAGACCTCTTTGGGAATCATCCACTAGGTCACTCACTAGGTAAAATCATGCACCCCCAAGAACTGCTGCTTTGTGTGTCAAATGGTTGTTATTGCGAACGGATGGAAAGGTGTGCCCTGGCCCCGTTCTAGCTCTTAGGTCAACATGAAGCTCGCGCGCTAAAGCTCCTTTTTACCTGGTTGGGCACTTGAGCCAAAATGTATATGGCATGTACCTGTATAGCGACTATACTGGGACCCGATCCCTATTGACACCCCCCACATCCGTACTTCGACGGGGAAGGGAGATGAGTGGATGTAAAAACCGGAGAACGAATCACGTTCTCAAAAGTGTATTGGAGGTCAACCAGTATGTCCTATTGAATTGAATTAGCAAAAGATCTTGCAATCGCTTGAAAGTTGGATCAAACAGGCAATGGAGCTACAAGCGGAAAACGTGCACCTACCTATGGTATCATGCGATTACCAACGGTGTGAGACATAATCCTATCTCACTCCCATGATGCCAAAACGGTCATCATGAATTACCCGAGATCCCTCAGTACTTGAAGTACCGGAAGTGGCATGTCGGCATGACCCCAATGCTCAACCATTCGTGAGTTGTCGCATGTAGTCAGCGCCGACAAAGCCAATGTAGTCCTTGATGAGCTCGACGTTCCTTGGATTTCCCGCTCGGATCTGCTCCTCGAAGGACTTCAATTTCCTTTCTTGGATATCGGATACCTCTATGCCATAGTAGCGGCATGCAACGAGGATCTCCTTCGTGACATTCTTCCTCTCCGATTTGATGGCGGGACTAATGTCGATGAATTTGTATGGAGCGGCACTTTCGTCATCTGGTTTCTGGTAGTAACTATATCGGCTCGCTCCGAAGGTCTTCTTGATCATACGTCTGATGAAATTTGAGATGAATGCCAATTTCTCGATGATCTCATCCTGGGTCTCAGACTTTCGAGCCTTTGGATCACTCATGCTACGCTGAGTGCTGCCGACCTCTTTGAGGTACTTGTGGCTAAGCCCGCAGCGGATTGCAGTGATCATCATCGGATGAACAACATTGGCGTGGAATTCATAGATCTGCCACGCTTCTGCTGCATACACGTCGTCGGTCCATCTGCTCATGTCTACGACCTCGTCTCTCTTGAGACGTCTTGGAAACCCAGTATCCGGATCTTTCGGTACTATTGGCCATCTATTGTGCGGAGTGTCATGCCGCTGTCCATCGTCGAACATCCGCAGTACATCTTCACGACTCTCAAAGCAGTTGATGTCGAACGTTGCGTTGGCCAAGCTCTTGATCAACTTCACCAACCTCAAATCAAATTGCTGCGTGACGGCAAAGTTGTGGTCGATGGGGATCGCAGCTTCTTGCGGCAATTCGTCAATCGCGAAGGGGAAAGGCTTCGGAAGTTCATTCCCGTATCCATCTTGAGGGACCTCCCGATACTCGGGTTCGCCTTCAGCTTCGTCCGGTCGTTCCTTCAAAATGATAGGAACTTCCTCCTCTTCCTCTCCTTCGGATTCCTCGATCTCAATGACCTCTTCGGCTGTCTTGCGTGCGTTCTTGATGACTTCATCGATGTTTGCACCTGCAGCAGAGGTTGTTTCACCGGAAGAACTGGCTGGGACATCTTTCGGAGGTGATCGTTGATTGCGGTCCCTTGTCTCCTTGGGTACCACATGTGTGAGCTTCCCATTCGCGATCAAAACCGCTACGCAGTGCGGACATATCGTCAATCGCACATCGACTTCGCCAAGACAGTTAGGACACGGTCTTGAATCGTAGTCTTTCATCGCTCGGCGATACACGATCTCCTCGAAGAGTTCCTGCCACTCGGTGTTATCATACTCTGGGTAAACACCACTCTCCTCGATCATACCCAACAGCTTTGAGATTTTGGCGTCGTCCTCGGTGTAGGTATCGTCCTGAACCTCAACCGCTAGGCTCTCAAGCTTTTGAAAGCGTGGAATCATGATCGGGTTTCCGTATTTGGACTCTAGAACAAGGTAGCTTCCAGGGTCGGGTTCCCCATTGAGTAACCGGATCCATTCGATCTTCTCAGGCTGTCCGGGTTCCGCATTGTCGCATTGCAACCATGCCCCTTTAACCTCATCGAAGGGAACGACGTTCTCAACCAATAGAGAGCCAGTCGCTGAGATGAGAAGTCCGTACTCCTGCAGCTTCCACACCGGAATGTAGAGAACCACTGGGCGATCACTCAATGCGACCTTACGACCCAGCCAAGGTTTACCCTTGTAGCCCTGCTCCCAGGCCCATGGCGGAAAACATGTGAAGTGGATAGAATCCCTTCCCGATGAACCGAGACCTCCCGGCACTAGCCCTCGTCGCATGATTGAAGTCAGCGCTCCGAGATTGGTAGCGTGAAATGCAGTCACCATAGATAGGGCCATGTCGTTGGTCATTCTCGACCCAATGTGGTCGATGTCGATGGTAACGTCATAACCTCCGCCGTCCGTTGAGTGTGCCGAGGTTGCTCTTACAGCCACGGGAAAGCACCATCCATCGCTATGGTGGAGTCTTCCTTTAGAGATTCCCATGTCCTTGAGTTCGTTAATCCATTCCTTCTCCATCGGGTCATCAGGCTCATTGAGTTCATCAGGGTGAACACGGACCGCTAACATTTGGAATCTGACCCTCTTGGTTATGCGGAAACACTCATAGTTTTGGTCGAAGTACTTCTCCAAACGCGCCTTCTTGGTCACGATATCTATGTTGCCGTAGTGATAACCGTCTTCCCAAACTGCATTATCACCTAACAGGTCTTCCCATGACACCCATGCGCCTTCATCGCATTTGATTGGTGCGAGTCTTCCTCCTGTCCTGAACTGGCGTCCAATTCGATGTCTCAACTTCGCTCCCAATCGACGACTCAGGGCCTGGCTCGTTTGGCTGTATTCAGGTACTCGACAGTCTGGAGTCGGATACTTGTGGTTGCCGTAGTCGGAGTTCTTTGCAGCGAAAGTGACTCCGTTGATCGGTACTAGTTCAACTTTCCCGACCATCGTCATGGGGTCGATCGGCTTGTATCCCTTCTCCCTCCGTGTTGGTAGGGGGTAGAAGTGATGACATGCCTTTGGTGTGAGGGAGCTGGAGTGCACAAATGCCTTCTCGACAAATTCATACACCTGTTTCATATCCTTAGGGCCTGCTTCCACAAGCTTCCGCCCATTGTAGGAATGTGGTCCTCCTTCGACTCCATCAGCACTTTCGATCAAGGTGAATCCGTCATGGTCGAACATTGTCACGACTCTTGCTTTTAACATTTCTTTGCGCTTGAACTCGCTGTCGACCTTTCTTTCTGGAGTGGGCGACGCTCTCTGCTTCTTCTTCTTAGGCTGTTCGGTTGGATGTCCTGATGGTACATCGTCGGGTGCAACCTCTCCCTTCACTCTCTTCTTCCAATCACTCAACACCGAGGTGACTGTAGGTGAGGATGAAAGGGTCTTCTCGCAATTGAGAGTGGTGTGTCCCGACTCCATGCAGTGGATGCAGAATTCTGCCCGCCCGATCTTCTTCTCAAATTCGTCGATGGCGTGCAGTATTGATGCTTTCGGGTCGGACATGTCAACATCTTGCTCCTCCTTCTCCTGTACGCCTTCAGTCTCCATATCGACACCTTCGGTCTCCATATCGACACCTTCGGCCTCGGGCTCGCCAGTGGCTTCTGTTCCCTGTTCTGGCTCTTTTCCAATCTCGAAGAAGTGGTCGATGTCGAATTCAGGAAGCGGCATAGTCCTCATGCGAACGAGAATCAGCGCCACGTTTGCCGCCTCATCAGAATGCGGGTCCATGGTTCTAATCATCGATCGCTTTCGGTTCTCATACGTTGTCCTGTCGTACAGCGATGCAGTGACGCGTTTGATGGATTCCTCTAATCCCGTCCTCAAAGCTTCGATGTCACCCCATCTCCTGAACATGTGCCTGAAGAGTTGAGCAATTTCGAACATGCCCAGCAGCGCTTCCACCATGTCACCTACCCGTTCCTCCGTGGGATCATCTCCGAATATAGTGCGGAATACATCGGGTTCCAGTATGGTCTTGAGGTATTTGGTGTAGCATACGTTGCCAAGGTCATAGGATCCCTGGAAGTACTTGGCGTTGCCGATTATCTGCTTTTCCACATGGATGCTGGGTCCTCTCCTCGTTTTGAAGAAGTTCTCCGTCATTGTTGATGACAACCTGATCCCCCCGAAGAACGAAATCTCCTTCTGGAAACCTGGATTCTCATTGAAGATGATCATCGCCTCGTGTAAAAACTTCATCAAGTCATCGTGCGGGTTCATCTCGGAGATTACGATGGTGGGAGAAGATACCGTTTGCCCCATGCCGAAGTTGTGAAGCA